TTTTTTTTTTTTTGCCTCGGGCGCAAAAGGAGCTGGCTACGGCTATGCTCCTGTGGTGCTCGTGCGGCTGTCGGCTGAATGTGTCAGACGCCGCAGAAGGAAAGGGGCCGAACACTTCTCCCAATGTGCAACCTCGGCCACACAAGCACCGCGGGAGGACAGGACGCCGGGGCCTCTAGGACACACTGGAATGCAAGCCAGCCGACTCCCTCCGTTCAGGGGCGGCAGGGGGTGTGGGGTTGTATTGAAGTCATTGGCACCGCAGCCATGCCCCCCGCCCACAGTGCGATCGCCCGCAAAGCCTTATCGTGACTTTGCCCAATCATGCCTCTATGTTTGTACTGAGCCCTGATTGGCACAGTCTTGCACCTGACCTGCGGTCAGGTGCAAGATTGTAGCCAATTACCGTTTCGGACGGCGCAGTGCATTGTGGGATGTCCCATGGTCGAACAAACCGCGGACATCCCATAATGTTCGGTGTTCGGCGAACGCTCGAACATGCTATGTTCGAGTCGAACATAGGTTCGACTCGAACGCGAAGCTCATCCCTAGTGATGAGCAGGCAGCACCATGCTGCTTTGCTTCTTGCACTTTTCTCCTCCCCTACAATCTTGACCTCTGTACATTATATGCTTTGGTGTCCATTACATTGTCCTGACTCTTGCACTTTATACACTATGTTGCTGATTTACATTTTTGTTTTAAATAATCCTTTGTGCCAAGGTTTATGCGTGTCTGTGAAAATAGTACTGTAATTAAGGCATATTTTGTAGGTACAAGGACTGCAACATAGAGTATGTGTGCTGTGTATACAACAAGTAGGCTCAGACTCTACTATTCCTCTTAGCCACTTTCACTGGTAGGTGTGATCTAGACACACCTACTGCTTGATACATGCGTTGCAAAATTGCTTTGCCTCCCGGTGCTTCAGGACTTACACAATCCTAGAAACATCCCTGACCCACATCACATGCGTGCCCTGCCTTTCGTTCTGCTTTTGGCCAGTCCAGTGCAGTGGAGTCCGTTCTTGGTGAGGCATTTCCCTGCCTGCCCCCGTCCCGCCCCCAGCCCACCTCTAACCTGCTCATGCCCCAGCCCACATCCATCCCACCCATGCCCTGCCCCCAACCTGGTCACCCGAGCTGTGTGGAGGAGAGAGGGAGGATGGAGAAGAGAGGAGACAGGGAGGAGCCTCCCTGTCCCTCACTTGCTCTTCACCGGTGAGCAATCGAGGTCGATGTCCTCACTGTTTTTTGTTTCTTTTTTTGATTGGACAGCTTGGACCAATGGCGCTTTGCCATTGGTCCAAGCCATCCACAGAGCTCAAGCATCTAACAGCAAGTAGAGGCTTTTGCAGCTCTTGCCTCACTAAGTTAGGTTGCGCAAAGCAGTGGGGAAGTCCGCTGCTGTGTAACCTAACTTAGCTGTCAAAAGCCAGATGCATCACCCTCTGTAATTAACAGGCAGCACTACGTCCAGGTTACACGTCGGGGAGGCTTTCCCTGCAGTGTAACCTGCTAGAAGCCAGTCTGAATGGAGAAAAAGCTGTCAGCTTCAGATTTGAAGCGGACAGCTTTTTCCTCCAAAGTACTAGGTGAGGCTCTGCCTCACCCGCCTCCCCTGACCGCACGTCCCTGGTCCAGTGTATGAGCGGTGAGCACAAGGAGAACGGCAGAGGCAGAGAACACACAGCATGAAGGTTCCTCAATGTCCCTGCACACTTTTGTGTCCACGTGAAACATGATTGCTGGACCCGGAGCTGCATAGTGATACTGAGACTACTGGGAGTGGAAGCTGCAGAAGATGATCAGGCATGTGCTGACCCTGAATCATGTATAATTAACTGGGGGGGAGGTGTTTTCGCTCTGGTTGTTGGATGACGCTACCTCATTCTGTACAATGCGCTGTGCGTTTCCTATTCCATGCCAGCTCATTCTGTATGCTGCACTGCACATTCCCTATTCTAATCCTGCTCATTCTGTAGGCTGTACCATATTTTCCCTTATCTTGTGCGCCTCATTTTGTACAAAGCGCCCCCAGTGTTTCCTATTCCATTTTTTGATGCAATAAATTGCATTATTTTGTTTGCACTTTTTTTATACCTGGTTACAAAATAGTACTTTCAAATTTATCTAGCACACTGATAAGGACCGCATGTGGGCTCAACCTTCTATTAAAGGGCCACTTGGCTAGGCTATAGTTAGTTTTTTTGTGTGTTTTTGTTACTTAAACTAAGCAGATGTACAAACTATAATGTGAAACCATGAAATGGCAAGATGACAATTGTAGCCAATAATGACAACATCTACTCTCCTCGCAATGCAATATCCTAGCAATTTTACAGCTTAGAAAGGTGCTTGTACACCATATATGGGATCAGGGCAGCCATCAGGGGGGTACAGCAGATACTCATGTAAGTGGCCTGGGGGGCCCGCCTGGGTCCCTTACATGACTATCGGCCGACGGTGAAGGGCAAGGAGGCGAAGGCCAGGCCCTAGCAGTGCAGGGCCCCAGCATTGCAGTTCCAGTGGCTTTGAGACAAGCCCTGTGTTCAGCGGCGTGGGGGTGGGGGGGGGGGCTAAAGCCGTCTAAGGGGCCCTAAAATTTCTGCTGGCTGCCCTGTATGGGATGGTTATATTTTAGGGATAAAACTTGTACATGGACACATTATTATACACACTGTAAACCTAGCTTATGAAATCAGTTTTGTTTTGATGAATTATAAGGGACTGTGGTTGTTTGTGTGGGTTTGCATACTGTGTGTATAATATATTATTTATTTATAATTTTGTGTAGTGACCTGTTTCCAGCTCTCGTATGCAAACGAACAGAGAGAGGACTAGAATAAGGAAGAGTGGGCATGTGCAAATAACTTGTTTGCTTCAGGCATTTTAGTGTGCTACATTGGTGACCAATTGTTATAACTGTGACATTTTAGACATTGCTGCACTTGTTAGAATATGGGTTGTAAAAGCTATACACACCTGAAATCAGGAGTGGGTATGTTTTTTAGATGGAAAACTCACTACATATTTTCCTGTAGTAGATTTCTTTTTCTTTTTTTTTTTTTTTAAGGAAAATTACCATTTTTGTAACCAGAGGTCATTGATGCATAAATGCCAAAATGTAGCAGTGTCAGCGAGCATTGGTTAACTTGACAACAATTCTGATAAATTCTCGTGCCCAGAAAGCTTCCATTTTTTTAAATTTTCTTGCTAATCTTTTAGATAATGTCATCTGTATCTGATAGTTCCACCATTAAATAGATGACACTGCAGATCCCAATGCAGCCTGAAGGTGTCAGCAATCATCTGCAGGCCCAAGGCATTTTTTTGTCGGTGAAGCCTCCAGCCTGCATGCAATCACTATGTCAAAACTGACATAGTGATCACATGATCGGGAACCATGCTGAATTTTATTATTGTTATACAGGATTTATATAGCACTAACAGTTTGCAAAGAGCTTTACAATAGAAAGGAAGACATTACAGTAAGAATACATTTCAAGAGAAGATGGTAAGGTGGGCCCTACTCATGAGAGCTTGCAATCTAAAAGGAAGGAGCAAGTGATCTCAAGGTGGATTGATTCCTGATCTTC